TTTTTTTAATTAATTACATTTAAATTAATTCAGTAGATATTTTTCCTACATAAATCATATTAATTAGTGTTTTTAACCTCTTTCCATATAAAGGATAAATGTCATCATGCTGGACTTCTGAAGGTGGATTCCTACATTTCCAACTAAACCTATATGGCTTGGTTAGCAACCTACAGCCACAAACTGTGTGGGTACAGTGTATGCCTAGAATTTCACCAAAACTGGAGCTTAACCTCCTTGGACAGTCTGGAAGTACGAATCAATGCACAGCAGTCGTATTATTGTTGTTCAGATAATTGTATTTAAAATACTCCAAAAAGCTCCCAAAGCACAAACTGTTTAGATGAGGTAACGCAGTATTTTTGCCTTAAATATATTTGGACCGCTTGTGTAATTACACACTTGCAGAGGTCCATTTTAAACCCTGTCCATGGCCCTTCAGGGGTGCAGGCACCTCGTCCATGGCCCATGGACTCCTCATCAGTAATAGTTTTTTTTTCTGTGCAAATGCACGTGTTACATATTTGTTGTGAATCACAACACAGAAATATTTTCTGCGTGTGTGTGCATATAGTATATTTGTGGAGTGTAGGTAAGAGTTCATTGAGTTGTTTAAAATCCCATTCTGTGGCCTCTCCCTGATAAACATCTTGATAAGAAGCCCTGTGGCTCGTATCTCATCTCCCGACAACATCATTGACTTTAATGTCTTTTTTATGCAACGTGCTCTGTGGACTGAGGTCCAGAGATCAGCTGAAGCAGCTGTTTGTTTCTCTCTCTGGCTCGTTGATCTGTTTTTGGTTTTTTTCTTTTTTGCCTCTTCACGTATCTTTCCATGCAGGACGGACCTCTTTAGTGAATAGAATTAATGAATAAATAATCAGTTCTGATAAAACTAGGAATAATAAAAGTATCCTATGCTCACTTTGACGCTTGTGGAGCTTTATTAAACTGTAATTACCACTGATAACTCAGTGTGATGCATACTTGGCTACAGGGCCACAAGCCTGATTCCCTGCACAGGTGACGGCCTCCTGCTTCATCCTAAAGGTTTTCATATCATTTTTTGTGTCGCACTGAGCTCAGCGGTCATTTATCCAGAATCTAAACATGTCCACATTCCTGTCTCCTAACCAGAAATCCGGCTCACTTGCAGGAGTTCCAATTTCAGGGGTAAGAGCTTTTCCCTCTTATGCAACTTTGTTTAATGAGTCACATTTGTCTGTGTTCAGCTGCGAGGCTGTCGCTGTGCTGGAGCAACGCATGGCTCCCTCCCACTTTTTTTTTTTCTGAGTAGAGACCATTTCGCTCGACCAATGAAAAATCTGCCCTGTGACACCTCAGAATCAGCTGATTTGTTTTGTATGTAATGAAGCCAAGCAAAAGCGGTATCTTCACACTCTCTTTCACAGTTCAGGCCCGCCAAGTACACGTGGGCGGGTCTGAACTAGCTCCATAAGTACGGGTGATATCAGCAAGACCAGTTCAGGGCTGCAAAACACATTTAAGCTGCAACCAAATCAATTTAAAAGGAAAATAACCGTCTCTGAGCATCAGCATCGTGAGGTCTGTCGTAGTTTGAATGAGCTGCAGCAGTTTCATCTCTGTAGAGTAGAGGAACAGAAACAAGCATTGGTATCCTGGTTGTTTGATCTGTTTTCTCATAATTCCCTTGAAACCTAAAAAGTGCATTCTTTTAATGGTCATATCACTATGTAGGTTTAGTGGGGTAGATCAGAAACACACTGTAGCATATGGAAGGTCTCCTTTTCACAAGGTCGTTTTCTGGCTGTGGGTTTAAAATTATGTTAACTGCTGGGTTGGAGCTTCCAGGATGAAGCAGATATGTTTGCGGTTGTATCCACTCATCTCTGACTGTTTACACGTCCTACTTGATC